CTAGTTAGCTTGTTAAAAATATTTCATCTTTTCAACTGACATACAATATTTTGAAAATATTATTTTGAAAAGACAGCTATTATTTTGAAAGTAACAGATGTATTTAATATTTTTGTGATTGTACAAATGTTACTGGCAAAAAAGTCTTTGGATCATAAAAAGTGTTTGTCAAATGAATCTTTTTAGTTTGGTCTAAAAATGTACCATCTATGTTTTTGGTGAGTATAATTAACAAAAGTAGTTCAGATAAGAGTCTAAATCTGAAATGATGAATCTTCTGTTCTTAAGACAGTGCTTTATTTATACTAGGCATCAGAAAAAAATAGCTGGAAATATCATTTGAAAGAATTCTTATGTTAATTATGGGATCTTTTAAGAACTACCAGCTTCAGCCCTAGCTGATTTGGCCCAGTGGATAGAGCCTCAGCCTGTGGACTGAAAGGTCCTGGGTTCTATTCCAGTCAAGGGTGCATGCCTGCGTTGCGGGCTTGATCTCCAGTAAGGGTGTGCAGGGGGTGGCAGGTTGGTGATTCTTTCTCATAGTTGGTGTTTCTATCTCTCTCTCCCTGTCCCTTCCTCTCAAAAATCATTAAAAATATGGTGTGTGTTAAAAAAAAAAAAAAAAAGAACTACCAGATTCAGCAATGACTATGCCTTTTAAAGAGTCTTAAAAATTTCAGAGCTGGGAAGAGACAAGACAAAGTTTCGTTTGGTCTTCCTTAAATATATACATAAATGGAAAAGGATGTTTTCTTCCCTTCAGCTTTTGCATTAAAATTTTCATTTTCCATGGTATTTACTACATGTTGTATGAAATTCATTGTTAAAGGATTTTTTTTATTTTAAAATGGGCAAAATCATGATTTCATACAAACATGAGATGAACACATATAAAAAATATTACTAAACAGATTAATAAGAGAACCAGTAAGAAGTTAAAAGTAGCCGAAACCGGTTTGGCTCAATGGATAGAGCATTGGCCTGCGAACTGAAAGGTCCCAGGTTCTATTCATTTTGCCTTGATAGAACACTGGCTGATACCCTATTTTTTTCATTTCTTTATTGCCAAACTTCTCAATTGAGTAGTTAAGGGGTTTGGCCTCCACTTTTTCATCACCTGCTTTTACAGTAAACTCCTGCACTCTAATATACTATAATTCGCCCCTGAATCTGAAACAGCAGCACTCTCCCACTCAATCTCCCATAAAGCTTAGAATGTACTAGTAATAGGCATTCAGTGAATATTAGTTAAATAATGAATGAAATAGTAGCTTTAAAAGACTATCACTGAGCTCTAGCTGGTTTGACTCAGTAGATAGAGAATCAGCCTATGGACTGAAGGGTTCCAAGTTCGATTCCAGACAAGGGCATGTACCTTGGTTGCAGGCACATCCTCAGTAGCGGGTGTGCAGGAGGCAGCTGACGATATTTCTCTCTTATCGATGTTTCTAACTCTCTAACCCTCTCCCTTTCACTCTGTAAAAAAAAAAAAAAAAAAAAAAAAAAAAAAAAAAATCAATAAAATATATGTAAAAAAGAAAAAAGAAAAGAAGAGCCCTGACTGGTTTGGCTCAGTGGTTTTAGATTCCCCCACCCCCTAAGGGCAAGTACTGGAGGCACCTGATTGATGTGTCTCTCTCACCTCCATGCCTCCTTCCCTCCCTCCCTCCTTCCCTTTCTCTCTTTCTTCTGCTCTCTCTGGAAATCAATGGAAAAAATGTCCTTGGATAAGGATTTAAAAAGAAAAGAAGAAATCTGATAAGAAACTATTATACCTAAATTCAGTCTAACTGGATGCTTTTGTAAAATGTGAGTTTTAGTGTGTTTTTGTTTTTTGAGAAGCCCATGGTTTGTATCAGATTCTGGAAAGAAATTTAATATATGTGTTTTAGAGAAAGTTTAACGTCTCAAGGAAAATTTTTAGCTAAAGCATCTTTTCTGTTTTTCCTATCAAGAGAACTCAGACCATTCTTTTCCCAGTTCAGTGATACTCAGACCTTGGTTCTTGAACCCCATGTAAGCCTTTCAGCAGCTGTCTTCTTCTAAGACCTCCATTGTTTTACCAGATTATGCCATGATAGGGTAATAACCATGCTCTTTTGGTTAATGATACTAATATGGTACCAAAGGTATATTCTTTTAGAAATAGCAGTTGCAGCTTTGATCAATTGATTTCTCTTTAGTTATTGTAACAAGTATCCTTGTTTAACAGTTAATATTTTTGCTTTAGCTGTCTAGTAGATAGTATTTGCTAAAAGTTGTTTCAAGTTTTCTTTGATTATAGTAGAAGTCTTTTTTATCTATTGCTATTCTATCTTATATAATTTATTGTTAATTGAAAAGGTTGGTTAAAGCAGGAGATTAATATGATACATACACACCATAAGCATTTTATTTCAGTTTAAAACAAATAAATATACATTTATTCACCAACCTTATGATGTATTAAGTATGCGCCTGCTGATTAGAGTTCTTCATCTTTTTGGCATTAATTACATCCTGTGATGCATTGCTTGAAACTTCCAATTACAGTTTTTCTAAGTGGAGTGAGAGCTCTTAGTTACTTGAAACAATGTGTATAAGCTCCTCCTGGATTTTTTAATTTGCTCCAAGCTTATTTATGTGTCTTACTACACTTCAATATAGAACAGTTTATTTATTTTTAATTGAATATATTGGGGTGAAGTTGGTTAATAAAATTTTATAGGACCATGCTCTAACCACTTAACCATACTGGCCAGGACAAGGCTCTTACTCTCTCTTTTTACTTTTAAAGTTTTTTGTATTTTTTTTTTAATCCTCCACTGAAGGTATTTTTCCATTGATTTTTAGAGAGAGTGGGAGAGAGAGGGAAAGATGGAGAGACATCGATAAGAAACATCGATTGGTTGCCTTCTGTACGTGCTCTGACCAGGGCCCAGGCCTGGGAGGTGCCCTTGACCAAATCAAACCTGGGACCCCTCAATCCACAGGCTGGCAATCTCTCTGTCCATTGAACCAAACTGGCCAGTGCTTTATTTTTGTTAATTCTCAACCGAGGATGTTTTTTCATTGATTTTTAGAGAGTAGAAGAGAGAGGGAGAGACAAAAAGAGAAACATCGATGTGAGAGAGAAACATTGATTGGTTGCCTTCCACGCTTGCCCCCCCGACCTGGGCCAGGGATCAAGCCTACAACCAAGGTACATGCCCTTGACTAGAATCAAACCCAGGACCCTTCAGTCTGAGGGCTGACGCTCTATCCACTGAACCAAATCGGCTAAGGCAAGGCTCTTGCTCTTGATAGATTAAAACAAAACAAAACACCGCTCTTGATAGATTGAAAGAAAAAAAAAGTTCCCCAGGCTATCTACTCATTCCTTCATTCTCCTCCCACATTGGAAAGTATTTCATATAAAGCTACTTTTATTTTATGAAATGTTTTTTTCTGTCAGGTGCCATGTATAAGTTCTGTAATCCTTATCATGCTTTTTTAAACCAGAAATCTTAAGCATGTATTTTTGAAATGTTTAGTGATGTGGAAAAAATAGCATTTGTATCTTTATAATTTACTAGAGATCTGATGCATGAAATTCGTGCAAGAGGCTCAGCCTTTGCAGCTCTGGTGACTTGCCTTGACCCTCACAAACCGGCTTCATCTGGAAGGTTGTCCGGCTATCCAGTCTAATTAGCATATTACGCTTTTATTATTATAGATAGACTCTTTCTGCAGTATGGATTAGTACAAATTTTGGTGTTTTGGTTTTCCTTAATAAAATTCCTTTGTGGCCCTAGCTGCTTTGCTCAGTGGATAGAGCCTGTGGACTAAAGGGACCTGGGTTTGATTCTGGTCAAGGGCACGTGCCCAGACTTTGGGCTTGATCCCCAGTAGGGAGTGTGCAGAAGGCCGCCAATCAATGATTCTTTCTCTTTCTGTTCCTCTCCCTTCCTCTCTGAAATCAGTAATAATATGTTTAAAAAATAAAATAAAATTTCTTTGTGTGCTTCCTATTCACATCCAGCCCCAGGTTTCTTGCAGCTGTATTTGAGCTGGGAAACCTGAGGAGAGGTTAGAAATAGGAAATTCTAGAGGAAGAAAAAAGACCTTTGATTTGGACAGGAAGAACAAGTAGCAAGGAAGATCTTAGTAATGAGATAATATTTTAGTTTGTGAAGCAGAGATGGGGATAATATTTTTTAGATAGATACAGAATATAAGATGACCCAAGAGAACATGCTTTCTGAAATAAGAAAATGGTTTGATTCTAAGATTAAAGTTTCTAAAAGAGCAAATAGCCATACTAGAGGCCCAGTGCACAGAATTCATACATGGGTAGGGTCCCTGATGGTCAGAGCATATCATAGCAAGCAATGGAACTGGTCAGTTGAACTTCCTAGGGGACACTTTGCATATTAGGCTTTTTTTTTTTTTTACAGAGAGGAAGGGAGAGGGATAGAGAGTTAGAAACATTGATGAGAGAGCATCATCGATCAGCTGCCTCTTGCATACCCCCTACTGGGGATGTGCCCACAACCAAGGTATTATACATGCCCTTGACCGGAATCAAACCCAGGACCTTTCAGTCCACAGGCCAACGCTCTATCCACTGAGCAAAACCAGTCTCGGCTATATTAGGCTTTTATATATATAGATTTTTTTAGAATATTTTTCCTCTAATCACTAGTTTTGTTTAGAAAAAATACAAAATAAAACCTGTGGATATATCTCAGAAATTTTGTGCAAATAGCTCTTACTATAACTCTAAATATGTGTATTTTTCCTCCCTCTAGAATCATCCTGGAGAGACATGAATATCTGCAATGATATTTCCTGACAAGAAGATAATAGAAGGAAAGGAGATCACCAGTTAGCAGAATTTCAAATAACCAGGATTTTTTATTTAATACCTCCAACTGCAGACTTCTCTTGCCTACCTTTAAATCAGAGATAACTACAATCAAAACCCAGACAAGGCAAAAGAATACTTTTCTTCTATATCTTTTGAGAGAAAAGAAATTACAATGTCTAGGAAACAAAACCAGAAGGGTAAGAGTATATATGGGCATAAATTGTTCAAAGCATAGTTGTGGAGTAATGTTCACCATTTATATTTGTATTTTCAAAAAAACATTCTCTTAATATGTTTTGAATGGTTATACTTTACCTGTGTACAGTATTACTGTTAGTTATAACTTTTTATCATGACAGAAATTAATTTTAGAAGAATACAGAACATTCATAACTTTATCTGTTATCGCATTAAGTATCTGTAAATATTATTTTACAGCTTCATGTATTACTACTTTTGAAATTCATATAACAGTTGCTTTTATCTTAGAAACCTAATAAATAGGAGTATACTTGCAGGATAGCCAAATGCCTCATGAAAATGTACTTTTTGGAGAGTGAACATATATTAGGGGGAATGCTAGGAGATAATTTATTGCAGGATATTCTGTATCCTTTGAGTTGATGTTTCATTTGAGATAGGAAATGAAACAAGAGAAAATGCTTTTAGATTTTGATTCATTCTTTAGCTTTCCTTCTGGGATAATTACTCTAGTTTCTTATCAAAAGTAAAATATAAGGTACAAAGAGTCAAGAAATATCAAGAATATATAAGTAAGGGAAGTACAACAGGACTATATAAAATCACTTTTTCATTTCCTAGAATTGCTCCAAAAAAGTTAAGGGACAAATTTTACAATAGCACTAGAACTGTTATTCACAACTGGAATATATTTATTAAGGGAATGACCATAGCTATTCTGGCTCCCCTCCCCTCATTCAATTTAATTTCCAATTTAATTTTTAAAAAATATATTTTATTGATTTTGTACAAAGAGGAAGGGAGAGAGATAGAGAGCCAGAAACATCAATGAGAGAGAATCATCGATCAGCTGCCTCTTGCACACCCCCTACTGGGGATATGCCCACAACCAAGGTACATGCCCTTGACTGGAATCGAACCCGGGACCCTTCAGTCCCCAAGCCGACGCTCTATCCATTGAGCCAAACCGGTCCCGGCTAATGTTCTTTAATTGAAAATAAAGCTGTAGATACAGATCTCACACATTAAATATGAAAAAAAAAAAATGCTTTTAAACTCAATTCTGACATTGCAGTTAAAAACCTCATTATAAGAACAATATATCAAAACTCCTTTTAGTCTTGAGAACTGTTGTTTCATTGTATAGTAAATCAATATCAAGAAAATCTGGGCTCTAAAGAACTGTTTAGATTCCTAAAGAAGCTGAACTGTTCTATGGAATGGGATTCATCAACTGAAAAGTTTTTATATCCTTTTTGTTTCTTCTTCAAACTTTAATTTCATCATAATTCCGTTTGCTTTTCCCCCAGTTATGCTTGAAACACTGATATCTGTTTTCCTTCTGCAAATGAGAAACATTATAGTAAAAACAGGATTCCAAACTTTAAAATAAAATAATTTATTCTAAAAGGTTAGCATTTAATTTTTTCTAAAGAGTTAACTTTAGCAGATTGCTTTGACCTCTAAAAACCTAATCTTTGTTTATTTCATGTCTGTGTTTTGCTAGAGTTATAAAAATGTCTTGATTACTATAGCTTTATAGTATTCTTGAAGTCAGGTAACATCAGTTCTTCAACATCGTTCTCCTTCAACATTATGTTAGCAATTCTGGATCTTTTGTCTTTCCATATTAACTTGAGAACCAGTTTGTCAATATCCACAAAATAAATTACTGGGGGTTTTGATTGGGATTGCTTTTAATGTATATTAAATATACTTGAGACCCGATGCATGGATTTGTGCAAACGGTGGGGTCCCTTGGCTTGGCCTGCAGGGATCGGGCTGAAACCAGCTCTCCGACATCCCCTTCGGGGTCCCGGATTGTGAGAGGGTGGTTCTTGGGTGATGCACACTGGAATCCACACTGGAATCTGGCTCTTTCCTTTCTGGCTCAGTGATGCACCCAAGAATTGCAGCTGCCAAGTCACCACAGCTTGGCAGCTCCTGTGTCGAGCGTCTTCCCCCTGGTGGTCAGTGCACATCATAGCTTCTTAGTTACTGGTCCTCTGCCCCCGGTTGTCATTGTGCATCATAGCTACTGATCGAACAGTCAGCCGGTCGATTAGACTTTTAAATAAAGTGAATTTGTGTGTGTGTGTGTGTGTGTGTGTGTGTGTGTGTGTGTGTGTGTGATTTCAGAGAGGAAGAGAGAAACATCAGTGATGAGAAAGTGTCATTGATCGGCTGTCTCTTGCACACCCCCTACTGGGGATCAAGCTCACAACCAGGGCATGTGCACCGGCCAGGAATCAGTAAGCTCCTAATTCATAGGTCAGTGCTCAATCATGAACCACACCAGCTGGGTTTAGGATTGCTTTTAATCTACATAACAAGTTGGCAAGAACTGACATCTTGATAACATTGAGTCTTCCCATTCACAAACATGGAATGTCTATTTATTTAGTTCTTTTCTTCAGAGTTTTGTAGTGTTCCTCATATAGGTCCTATGCATACTTTGTTGGATTTATACCCAAGTATTTTTGGGGTGTTAATGGTATTGTGTTTTTTATTTTAAATTCCATGTATTCATTGCTGTTACAGTGATGGACTTTTGTATATTGATCTTGTATCCTGCAAAGTTGATATAATCATTATTCGTTCCAGAAGTTTTAAATAACATTTATTTTTTTTGAGTTTATTATTGACATTAAAATTTTTTATTTTTAGAGAGAGGAAGGGGGAGAGAGAGAGAGAGAGAGAGAGAAACATCAATCGGCCCCCACGAGGGATCAAGCCTGGGCATGTGCCCTGACTGGGAATCTAACCGGTAACCTCTCGGTGCACAGGATGATGCTCAATCAGTGAGTCATACCAGCCGGGCTATAATTGAAATTTTAAGCTTATCAAAAATAGAATAGTATGGCCCTGATTGGTTTGGCTCAGTAGGTAGATCGTTGGCCTGCAGACTGAAGGCTCCCAGGTTTGATTCTGGTCAAGGGTATGTACCTTGGTTGCAGCCACATCCCCAATAGGGGGTTTGCAGGAGGCAGCTGATTGATGTTTCTAAATCTATCCCTCTCTCTTCCTTTCTGTAAAAAAAATCAATAAAATATATTAAAAAAAAATAGAATGGTATGGTGTACTCACCAATAACCATAATTCAGGTCTGATAATTAACAACACATGGCCAATCATTTTTGTGTATATTTTAACCCCCAGTGGATTACTGTTGTTATTATTTTTGTTTGTTTGTAAATCCTCACCTGAGGATATCCGTCCATTTATTTTTAGGGAGAGTTGAAGAGAAAGGGGTAGACAGAGAGAAACGTTGATGTGAGAGAAATACATCGATTGGTTGCCTCCTGCATGAGCCCTGACCAGGGCCCAAGCTGGGGAGGAGCCTGCAACCAAGGTGCGTGCCTTTGACTAGAATCAAACAAAGGGCTCTTTGGTTCTAAGGGCAATGCTCTATCCAACTGAGCCCAACTGGCTAGGATGATTATTATTTTTATGTTCAAGGATCTCTGAACTTTTTTTTTTTTTTTTTTTTTTAATATATATTTTATTGATTTTGTACAGAGAGAAAGGGAGAGAGATAGAGAGTTAGAAACATCGATGAGAGAGAGTCATCTATCAGCTGCCTCTTGCACACCCCCTACTGGGGATATGCCCGCAACCAAAATACATGCCCTTGACCGGAATCGAACCAGGGACCTTTCAGTCCCCAAACCGGTTTCGGCTCTCTGAACTTTTTTATTGGCCTTCTGCCCCCTCTCCGCCCCCGCCAAGGAGTACCCCAGAATTTTGGTATCATTGACCTTAGATACCACTTTGCTGTCCACAGTCCATGAATTGCATGGAGTTGCTGTTGTCCAGGCCATCACCAAGGTGGAAGTCTTCCTCTTCTAGCAGGCAGTGGTAGGTGGCGATCTCAGCTTCCAGCTTGACCTTGATGTTCAGCAGGGCCTTATGCTCTTGGACCTGGCACTTTCCCTTTGCCCAGGTCTGGGCCAGCTTTGACTCCAGCTGCAGCAGGATCCCATTGAGCTCCATCTGCATGGCATAGGGCATCTCCACCTCCCACAGGCTGTTTTCCAAGCTGGCCTTCAGATTTTTCATGGAGTCCAAGTTGACCTCCAAAGGCTGGGCTATACATCTCAGCCCATGAGTATCATCTCAGGAGCTCCTGTCTCAGCAGTTTGTGACCAATAATTGTCTATCTGGGACCAGTACTTGTCTAGCTCCTCTCCTTTCCTCAGAGTCAGCTCGTCATACTGGGCCCAGATGTCTGTCATGAGGTCCTGAGATTTGGGGGCATCCAACTTCCCGGTCAACACAGAGTTGGCAATCTGGTTTGGTAGAACATTTACTTCCTCTTCATGCTGCTGCTTCATGAAGAGCAGGTCCTCCTTGAAAGCCTTGTTCTCTATCACCAGCTGCAGCCGAGTGATATTGATGTCATCAGTGACCTTATCGAGACCATTGATGCCGCTCTTCATGGACTAGCGCATGAGCAGCTCTGTCTCATACTTGACTTTGAAGTCAGCAGCAGCAGGACAGGCATCATCAGTCAGCAGAACAATGTGGGCTTTGTCCACAGAACTTTCAAAAAATCTGAGCCCTCAGGTCCTCAGTGATCTTTGAAATAATGACCCCAGTCTCTGACCTAGGGTCCTTTCTTCTCCAGGTGTTCCTGAATTTGATCTCCAGTCTCCAATTATCAGCCTCCAGGCTTCTCACCTTCTCCGGGTGGGAGGCCAGGCGGTCATTCAGGCATTGCATAGTCTTCTCACTCTGGATGCTCCCTGTGCCCAACAGACCCTCAGCCATCCCTACAGCCAGGTCCCCAGACCTTCAGCTGTCCCACACACTGGTGCTCCTGCTACCTTCATGCCTGGTAGATGCTGACTGTGCTGCTGGTTGCCCAGGCCTGGTCCCTGGGCAACTGCACTGAGTCCAGGGCCCAGTAGTTTGTTGAGACGCTGGAGTGGGTACTGAAGCTCAGGTTGTTCAGGGAGGAAGGCAAGAAGCTGAGACTCTGGTTCAAGTTACTCTC